AGCCGAAACCAGGACACCCGCAGCCCCCTCCTCTCCAGGCTGAGCACCCCCAGCTCCCCCAGCCTGGCCCCGCAGCAGAGGGGCTCCAGCCCTCGGGGCAAAATTGATAAACTGTAAAGGGATACTCCGATAGAGAAGAACTGCATAACGTAAGAGGCAGGTGGTATTACTTGTTATAGGAAACATGTTTGAGAACAGGTGTGCTGGTTTTGGCTGGGGTACAGTTAATTTTCTTCATAGCAGCTAGTGTGGGGCTATGGTTTGGATTTGTGCTGGAAACAGTGATGATAACACAGGGATGTTTTTGTTACTGCTGAGCAGTGCTTACAGAGAGTCAAGGCCTTTTCTGCTCCTCACCCCACCCCAGCAGCGAGCAGGCTGGGGGGCACAAGGAGTTGGGAGGGGACACAGCTGGGACAGCTGACCCCAGCTGACCCAAGGGATATTCCATACCATACGACATCATGCTCAGCATATAGAGCTGGGGGAAGAAGAAGGAAGGGAGGGATGTTGGGAGCGATGGCGTTTGTCTTCCCAAGTAACCGTTACGCGTGATGGAGCCCTGCTCTCCTGGAGATGGCTGAACACCTGCCTGCCCATGGGGAGCAGGGAATGAATTCCTTGTTTTGCTTTGCTTGCATGTGCAGGTTTTGCTTTACCTATGAAACTGTCTTTATCTCAACCCACGAGTTTTCTCGTTTTTACCCTTCCAACTCTCTCCCCCATGGGGGGCAGGGTGAGCAAGTGGCTATGTGGGGCTTAGTTGCCAGCTACAGTTAAGCCACGACAACAGGTATCTCAAACTTCCCAGAATGGGAAGCCAATTCTAAGGCTGAACTGCCAGTGTTCCAGAGAAAAAACAGGATTTTCAGTATAACAAGCTTGTAATTCAGACAAGGAATACTAAACCTAGCATATAAACAGTTTTGAAATGAGACTTGGCTACATTTTATCATGCAAAAAGACAAGAGAAAACTGAAAATCAAACCCAAAGATTGCTCATCTTAGGAATTCAGCGTGTGAATTTTTCAAAACTGCAGCTGAAGGACTTTCATCACTAGAGGGCACTAATATCCCAGCTGGAGCCAAGCAACTTAAACTACTATGCTACTCAACAGATAAATCCAAGGGTAACATACTTTGCAAAGTCCAAATAAGATATATGTCCATGGTAAAATCCTGGTTTCATTTCCTTCCAGGAAGTCACGTTCTTCACAAATCGGACCTGTAAAAGCAGAGAGCAGAAAGTCTTTCTGTACAGCTGGAACACATTAAGCTTCCCCATACACGGTGTTTTCTGGTTTGTAAGTAAAAACTTATAATGCATTAGAAAAAAGTCTATTTTGAATATCACCAAAGAATTTGTGCCAGCTAAAATAGACTGTTCTGCAAGCATACAGATGACTCATTTTAGATCATCACAATTTAGTGATCAGACACTAAATGAAAGCAGAATACAGCAATCAGAAGGGCAATTCAAGGAAAGCTACCACAAAAACATTAGCAAGACAAACCTTTACATTTTTGTCAGTCCATTTTATTTGTAACTTGAAAGGAATGCGGAATTCCCTCAGCAATAAGTAGAAATGAAAGTACACCTTTGATGGAATCATCTGATCTGTATGTAGGCCCTCAAATAAAAGCGTACCAGATTTACAAGCATGTTCTTAGAGCTATTTTACTAGGACATAAGAAACAAATCTGATGGTTCATTTGCCCCCCCATCCCAAAATGCAATGCATGAGTAATCCAGAAATTTTATAAATGTATACAGCATAAATTAGATCTATAGTTTACCATTTTGAAAGGTTACCTTAAGCCTAACATTTCAGTGAAACTTCCATGTTAAAGCATGAAGTAGCCCTTAAACAAGGTCTGATAAAGCAGTTATCGGCAAATTTCACAAAAATAGGAGAAGTTTTACATTTCAAAGATAAAAACAAAATAAGATACATGCCCCAAACCAGAAAGTATGATCAAATTAAGTGGGACATGCAAATCCTGATATAGCTCAGCTTTATTAGATGAACAGAATATTTTAACATCAAAGCATTTAACTCTGAAAGTTATTTCAAAACTAGTGAATTGGATAATAAAGAAAAGATGATAAATTTGTACTGCCTGAGCTGTCTGACAATGATATGCCATTTCTGAAGCCGCGAATTAGAAGATAGCGTTCCTTGCACATCTGTAATATCTTTTCTGTTATACAGTGACATAGATAATCACGAAGATACTGAGGTGAGACAAGAGAATCAAAAAAGGAAAGTTTGAGAGCTCAGGACAACACACTAACATTCTGTAAGGTCTAATAGATTAAGACAGTCCTGAAACATTTATTGTTTATTATAACCAACCAATTGAGGATTTTAAGAGGCAAGACTGGCCTGCTGCTGTTTCTTCAGATGTGCAAAACTTGCAGTCTAGGATTTAAGAGGTTGATAACCTTTACTTATTTCTTCAAACACTGGCTCTTGGACTCTCAGCTAAAAGAAATGGATATTACTTTTTAATAAACAGGCAGCACTCATTTTTTTCAGTGTACGAGTTTCACAGTCTGCGGCATTTCACAATTTAAACCACATACTGCACATGAAAATTGTGGCAAATCTAGCTGAAAAGCACTGCACAATGTTATACGATGGTGTTTCATAAACTGCATTGACTTTCTGTCTGGTTTTGTCCACAGCACAAAATGATAATATATCTATGACACTTTGAATCCAGTGGAACTACCTTTAGTGCTACTGCTATGAGGTTAGCAAATGTGACGCCCATCTACAAGAGGGGCGGGAAGGAGGATCTGGGGAACTACAGGTCAGTCTGACCTTGGTGCCGGGGAAGGTTATGGAGCAGATCATCTTGAGTGCCAACATGTGGCACATACAGGACAACCAGGTGATCAGGCCCAGCCAGCATGGGTTTATGAAAGGCAGGTCCTGCTTGACTAACCTGATCTCCTCCTATGACAAGGTGACCTGCTTAGTGGATGAGGGAAAGGCTGTGGATGTTGTCTACCTGGACTTTAGTAAAGCCTTTGATGCTGTTTCCCACAGTGTTCTCCTGGAGAAACTGGCTGCTCGTGGCTTGGATAGGCATACTCTTTGCCGGGCAAAAATCTGGCTGGATGGCCAGGCCGAAAGAGTTGTGAATGGAGTTAAATCCAGTTGGCGGCCGGTCACGAATGGATCTTACCGCTGCCTACAACTATCTGAAAGGAGATTGTAGTGAGGTGGGGGTCGGTCTCTTCTCCCAAGTAACAAGTGATAGGATGAGAGGAAATGGCCTCAAGTTGCACCAGGGGAGGTTTAGATTGGATATTAGGAAAAATTTCTTCATGGAAAGGGTTGTCAAGCACTGGAGCAGGCTGCCCAGAGAGGTCATTGGGTCTCCAACCCTGGAGATATTTAATAGATGTGTAGATGTGGTGGTTAAGGACATGGTTTAGTGGTGGACTTGGCAGTGCTAGGTTAATGGTTGGACTTGATGATCTTAAAGGTCTTTTCCAACCTAAACAATTCTGTAATTCTATGAAACAAACCACACTTTCATTGACTGGACCTTTCAAAGATTAATGACAAGATATTTTCAGTGGAGAGCCTCAGCTATGAATATTTCTATACCTGGGAAAGAAGTTTCCTAAATGCAAAGTATATACTATCCTCTCTTCACTCACCCCCAAACCCCCAAAATGTCACAGTCAGTTGATACAACTCCGCAAGTAAACCAGTTTTGCTATCTACTGTGTGTAGTGCAGCATGCATATTAAAGTGTACATTTCAGTTACGTTTCCATGAACAAGCTTTCTGATGCACCAGCTAGATTTCAGTTTCTAATAGACTAGGACTAGACACAGGGAAAGGTTAAGTGCAAAATCCCAAGAGTCAGTTCTGTCTTAGATCCCCACACCACCATCTGGCATCAAACCTTAGATGTTCCAGTAATAGTTAAAAAAATCCTTTATTGTCTTTGTCTTACAATGTCATTGTCTGCTAAGGAAATAATTTTTATGAACACAGGATGGATGTTCTAGCCTTTTATTAACTTTAACACCAGGCAAGCTAAGAGAAGGCTAGGAAGGTTTTATAAGACAGATGTGACATTTACATCTGCCTTAAGATGGACCAGAAACGCACGGTGCCCCTGAGAATTTAAGTTTTTAACACTTGTAATGAGCCTACAGGCAAGAGAGTATTAGCCCCCCCAGAATTTGCAGCACTCCAAAAATCAGAATTGTTCCAGGACACAGACAGCCTAATGAGTCTGGATTCACACATTTTAGGGCAGATGAATATTGCTTGCTGCTTCATACTGTTAAATATGATCAATTCTACCTTTCTTTTCAGGGCTTAGCAGATACTGGAGCTTTCAAGAGACCGAGCAAACTTCTCCATCTGAACCCAACTGAATAAAATTTGAGGTTACTTTAAAAGTTCAGACAGACGTGAATGGAATTCCTGTGAAGTCGTTTCATGGTGCTTTTATATAATCAGCTACAAAGTTGCTTCACAGCCTTTAGTAAGTGAGAGATCAGCTGAGCTTCACTGAATTAAAAAGCCAGATCAAACGTACTCTGGGGGCGTAAGATGTCCTGAAAGGTAAGTTAAATACATTCAGTTTCTAGGACGATAAGAATTTAAAACAAGTCCCAGTGAGCCAAAAGGAAAAAAAAAAAAAAAAAAGAAAACACAGCATACTTGGTCTAAACAAAAAGCCCTGTGAAATCTGTGCGTGCAAACCAAAGTGATGTTGTAAGCTGTCATCTCTGTCCACTAACCCCTTCCATCAATCCCTCTTCTCTGCAGTCTGAACACACACGTACACACCCTCTGTCCCCAAAAGGTGGTATGGTCATTACCCTGTGGCCTGGTATCACATAGACTGTTGGATACCAAAAAAGCCCCAGCTTTTCATGTCATTATATTCTACTTTTATTTGTCAACTGCTGAATAACTGACTTAAAATTACAAATGACTGGGGGGATGAATATCACAAGCCCAGCCTGGTGAGGACACATGAGGATTTTCCATTTGAACTACAAAAAAAGGGCTCTCAAGTAAGACTGAAGACCAACACAGTTTCCCCATTAAAGGAAATCTCAGATTCAGATTTAAAGATCAATCATGATGGGATGACTGAACCAGAATTCCTCTGCAGGAAGGCACTGGTAGCTTAGCTCTCCAAATTGTCATACAAGCTAATAACTTATGGTTAGCTCTAAACCAGAGGGTCAGGAACGCTGGAAACAGGCTAGCAGCACACCTTTGGCTGCATGCCACGAGAAACCACAAACAAGCTCAAGGCAAGGGCAGCTGAGAAGCAATTTTGTGAGATGGTGAAAAGGCAAGAGTTCACCAGTTCAGCCACGGTACAGCCAGGATACCTGCCTCGCATGAACAGCTCTTTCTCAGAAGGAAAAATACAATTGGCACATGTAGAGCAGTGGACACTAGCACTCACTAGGCCATCTAATTCCAAGAGAAAAATTCTTAAATGTTCAGGAGCGCATGACAGCACTTCCACTTCTAACGAAGTGCTGCAACCTTTTACTTGTTCCACTTCTGACAGCCATTGAAACCTTCACCCAGAGGAAATAAGTACTACTACTAAAGTCAGTAAGAGCGTGCTACCTTCTGAGAGGCCACTGTTTTAGAATACATTTGGAAGCAAGATTATATATTTTCAGGTTGCTCTTTTGAGAAAAAAGGAGAGAGAAACTGTGGGAGAAAAAAGAACAAGGAACAGAAAACAGCAAGCCACGGTACTGAAATGCTGGATAATTGTACCATGGCTTTTCTATGTTCACAACAGCACAGAGAACGTGTTCTTGTACCCCTTTTTCTAATAATATATCAAGAATACATGCTGCAAGATAGAACAATAATTTAGTTTTAAATGTTTTAGATTACAATTTCACCATGTAACAAAAAGGCTAAAGTTTGTGTGGCTGGTATGCCATCCAACTACCCATAACACAGGCATACTTGTATGGACAGCAAGTATCAGTATTGAAACATGCAAGCAACAAATAAAATCCAACCAAACAGCTACTCCGATTTAATGAAAGCACGTATTTTTGTTACGGACCACACAGGTCAGAAATGCAACATGGGCAACATGGCACTCAGCTTGCTGCGAAGAAAAGGCCCGACCTGTGGAAACAGGGGCAGTTCCCAGGATCCTGCTGTCAGAGAAGCTGCAAAAGAAAGGAGGGCTGCTGGGACAAGTTCCATCTGAAACTAAAATGGATGCGTTAGGAACTCTTATCAGATTATCTCAAATCAGGTATAGATTATATTTGGAGTGGACTTTAAGTAGGTTTGGTTTTTTTTTTTTTCAGATTGCATTCAAGAAGTAGAGGTTTCACACATGGGCAGAGAACTTAAAATCTGTTACAGAATTAGAATGTTCTACATATCAATAGTACAGCAGAAACAGTGCATAAGAGAGAGCTTACAAATTTATGTCAGGCCCAAAGACAATCTTCACTTTGCTTAGGGAGATTTGTTTTAGCAAACAGTATCACTGACGAAACAATTTTGCCTTGTGGAGCATTTATGTATTTTACTACTGGTGCATCTACACCTAATGCACTCAAGTCAGCTCTACTGATGAAGGTGGCATGTGAATATTTCATGCACATCCAAGCCCACAAAGAGTAAACCTACATCAGCTACTACTCAGCACCCTCACCACCTCCAGAATTGTGTTATATGACTTACAATGGCAAGCTGCCATCTCAATACACTAAAGATGAATAGTTATTTCTTCTTCTTTGGACAACTATGCAATATATAAAGTTTTCCATTGTCAGCATCTCCCAGTTAATGGCCACTATAGAAGAGGAGTATCAATTGTCTAATTAAACAACATAATTTACCACCTTGGACAATAGCATAGGATCACGTCAATGTAGGACTGCTGGTATTGTATACATGCCCAGCATTTTCATTTTTCAGTAACTAATTATTAGAGAGAAGGTGGGGAGGAGAGGTTCTCTTAGACAAAACTAAGCCAGTAAAGAACAAATTTTATTTGAATGAAATTCAAGCAAAAGTAGAAATTTAAGACAAGGTTGCCTATGTTTAATTTATACCATCAATTACTAGCTCTCCTATCCTTCAGGACAGACCACTACAATTCAAAGAGACACCGTGACAGAAACAGAATCTGTGTTTGGAAGTGCAGCACGAAGTATGACTGACTTGAGCAGGATTTTTAATTAACAGATACAGGCTTGTTCATTCTTTTGAGAAATCACTCTGCTGTTGGTGCATAGGTCTTTAGTACTTGTTCTACGCAGTGGTCAGGACTATAGAGATGGCTACCAGATTTACTCTTAGTAATCTCTGTAATGATGTATGATGATATCACCTATATATTTAGGAGAAGATTTCACAACAGCAAAAACCCAACAGTAACGCAACCCCATTATAACGAAACAGGTTCCCAGTCCCACCCCAAGTACCCTCCATGTCCCCTGCACCGAGATCCCTACCTCAATCCTTCTCCCACATACAGAACTGAAAGTGGAGGGCCTGTTACCATCTGCTTCCTCTCGCCCCACTCCGGCGGCTGTGCTGAGCTGCTTCTGCTTGTAGGCATGCACTTAAAGGAGCTGGAAGCCTCAGTGCTGACATGCTGCAATGCAGCACAGCTCCTGCCTCTACTGCATATCAACTTAAGACGATCAGCATACAACCGGTAGTACAGACCCGAGAGTTTGGAAACATTTGTTTTATAGAAAGGATGATGACATAGTGATGCTTCAGACCTCTGACCTCAGTTCTTTGCATATGCACTCACGACAAGAAAGAAATACTATTTTAAAAAAATAAAATAAAAAACCTACTCCCTCACCACACCCCACCCCAAGAAAAACAGAGCACTGATCCTCCATCATTTCAATATTCGTCATCTGATGCAGTGGTAGCCATCATCATTTCTAGCCTGGGACTACACAGATTTTAGTGAAAACTTTGAGTGGGTGCAAAGTGACCCATCCTTTGGAATGCAAGCTATTTACAACCACTTCTCTCTACCTTTTTTTTTTTTATCACCTATGAGACCTGACCAGACCTAGTACCAAAGACAGAAGTACAGCCCTGACAGCATGGCACAGTGCCCGTGCTACTCGGAGAGGAAAGCACCTAAGACTGCATTCACTGCAGATGGAGATGACAGGCAAATATTATTACACAGCCAAAAGGGAGACAGTTGACAATACAATAAACTTCTACAGTTGTAACAACAAAGGTCATTTCTGCCCTAGCTGTATCCCTTTTTAGCTTTGTTTTTGTCTGATAAACAGATACTTACCACCTCCAGTAGCCCAGCAAAAACCTAAACTTATTATTTAATAAATAACAGTAATTCTCTACAAAGAAAACATAAACACATTAGAATTCATTTATATTGGAAAGTGTGACATAAAAACCAATTCCATCAGACCATGTAAGTTTGCACTAGCAAAAAAGTTTTCTATACTTTCCCCTTGTTTAATAAGGGCATCCCAAATGCAGCACCTTACCTGATCTTGCAGGGACATAACAGGATTATTTTTGGTTGTATTGATATGTAGAACATGATATTTGTTCTTCGCACAAAGATCATAGGCAATATTTGTGAAGGATGTGCTGGCAGTCTTAGGTACTCTGTTGTAAATAATCACCACATCATCTTCTTCATCCAGTGCCACATCTTGTCGGGGGCCATCTACTGTATGACGTTGTTCTATTTCTCTGACTTCATGCCTTGCAATAGCCCTTTCTGTTAAGGATAACGAATACAAAATTTAGATGTAAGTATCACCAATTTTGAAGTTCAAATGACAGAATGCAAATAACCTGGTGAAAAGCAGTAACACCTCAGCAATAAAGGAAACACTTGCTGTCACACATATTTCTGACACATCTGAAGGAAAATTTAATCTATAAAATGTATGAATGATAAAAGGTGAGTTAGTCTGACACGGAACACAAAGCCTAGAAAACAATATACTTAGGGAACACATACTGTACTCTATGACTCATGCTAATGTTACTGAAAGCCATCCTCTCTAAAGAAAAATGTCTATAAAGTGCTATGAAAATGGTGCCATCCCCAAAATATCCCAAATAATTTCTATAAAACAACTATTTAAAAATTATAATAAAATTAATAACTCAAGCAATTTGGAGAATATGAATTTTCTGAAAACAGTACAAATACTAACACCAGAGATTTAGTAAGTTAACTGTGTAGAGGCACTGAAATTCAGATGAAACCATTGTTTTGTTATTTCAATGGACACAAGCCCAAGCATAAAGCATTACAATAAATGGGTTTGCAAAAATTCAATTAGATTTATTAATTTCAAGTTTGACAAGAACAGAAGAAAGAGTTGCTTATGAAACAGTTAACATTAACATGAAGAGAGATCTCTGAATACTGAAATATGTCAAATACATCAAAAAGAAAGAAACATGGAAAAGCAAGCTATGAACAAGACATTTTGGCAAGGTGAGTACATTGCAAATAAACTGGTTTTCCTTTTATACAAAGGGCAATGCTCTGAGTAATTGAACTCTGCTTCAAGTGGTAAAAGCCCATTTGGAAAATCAAAACCACAGTATTAGAGTTTTGGGGTTTTTTTGCTGCTGCTGCTGAATACCAAATACTTTGTGCTGATTCAGACACAGCTTTGTTCTGTTCTAGGTAAGTATATACTTTAATATGATTTGTAATACAGATGTCAAAGCATCTTTTCCGATTCATTTACTGTGATATTGCCTTTAATAATATATTCAAAGAAATTTGCGTTGGCCAACAGTGCAAGCTGAAGTCAGTACCACAAAAGTAACCTGTAATTCTCCATATTATATTCTTACACAGGGTATAGCTCTTTCTGGATGACACGCTTTTAACAGCAGCAGCTCTTGGCCTTTACTTCCCTTGCTTCCTGTAACCCAGCTCCTTCTATTCTCTTTCACCACATCTCTTTAATTATAACATAAAATCACTTTTAAAGCAGAATCATTAAGCTGTGAACACCACTAGCCTGTAATTCCACATAAATTGTCTTCAACCACAAACTTCCATCTGTCTGAAACGCTTCAAAGCTTAAACTCACTCACTTTCTCATATGCTCGTATCTCACACCCCATAACTAAGTTACATCAGTATGAAAATGTTTGTAGAAAATGCTTATTGAGTATATCTCAATTTTCCACATGACATCTGTTGCTCCCCACTACATCAGTCACAGTTTTTGCTCTTCCTTTCTCATTTGCTACCTCTCCCATCACTGCTGGCAAACGTCCTATTTTGGAAAGAGATGAGGCAACAGACTCAGGTTTCGTCTATCTGGAGATGGCTACAACAAAACGGCACTGGCAACTCTCCCCTTCCTGCCCATAACAGATTAGGGGAAGCATTTGGTAGGGGACATAGTTAACCACATGGCTGCCCAAGGCTACATGGATACTGAATAGCACCTAGAGAGGCTGAAACGAAACAAATTTAATTTGTATTTTCTACCCTGGAGCAGTAGGTCTCAGCTAGTTCTGAATCCTAATTGCAGAGAACTCCAGGGCTGATGAGGCTGGCTGGCGTAGAGGGAAGCTTCCCCTTTTACACGGAAGAAGTAACCATTTGTGAGAAACAGGAATGATGAGAAGTGTTCCTCTAACGAGGCATTTGAAACCATGATGATTCAAGAATTAGCGAGATAAGTGCACTTTAAAGGCTATGCATAAGACATAAAAGATGTATGATTAGATGCAATTAGCAGAAAGGCTATTGCATACAATCACCTTCAACTTCCTATGGTGAGAGGGGAAAGCGAGAACTCATGCAAGGAGGAGAACCTTCACAAGTGTGAAGTACACAGCCAGTTGCATTATCAAAGAATAAGGAGGCTTTAAACTTCAAATTAAAATGAAAACTAATCATTATGATGAAGAACTGAAATCACCTTTTGGAAAGAACTGCAATAGTTAAAAACCAAAAGGTGTGATGAAGTGCAGGATATAAAGTGCCGAAGTGCAAGGGAAGCTAAAGCTAGTGAGAAGCAGATGAAGCACCTGAAAGTGTCTCACCTGGTCAGCCACCCTAATGGCCTATTTCATCGTAGTCTATTGATAGGACAACAAGAAAAATTGCAAGCTTTGTAAAAACACACATTTTTTCCCAGTCATGAACGGTTTGCAGTTCTTCCTGTGAAGTCAGGAGGCTTTTTTGTTACTTTCTGAAAATTCAGTTTAACTGTTAAATAGCACGTGATTGGATCCATATGAATTTTATTTATTTATTTATTGGGGGAGAGGGAAGAGGTCCAGTAATGGTAACATGCAACTCTGACTAGGCTTTGGGATAACCGTGTTAAACAGGAATGAGAGAATTTGAGGAGTTGATGAGCATTTGGTAAAATACTTCATTTGCTCTTCCATAAAATTTAAATCATCCTGGAAGTAAAAGTCCTGTATTGGTTGAAAAAATGAATATTGTTTATAAGTTTTTAGAAGTACATTAGAAAATGCAATGTATGCTTTAATGACTTTTTACATGTGGAAGATGAGGAGGAAGAAGATGCTACATATTTATTAAGTATATTTTGTTTAGCAAAAATCTCCTTAGATGACAGCCTTGTGAATTTAACTTTGATTATGAGAACTTGCCTACGTAAGGTTGGATTGGATTCACTGAAATTAATTAAAAAAAAAAAAATCAGGTTAGGTCATTTCTTTCCTATCAGAGATCCTGTGGACAAAATGATGTCCCACAGTCTCATTGCTTTCATTGCATTCTATTTAAACTTGATTTTGTAAGAAAAACATCTAGGCAAATTTATTAAGAGCCGAATGTCTGGGTTAAGACTGTCCACACTAAGTTTTACACTAATTAACTATATCAATTAAAAAAGCTAAGCAGCATTTAAGCAAGTGGTACTTTGAATACAAGACAGTTTTTCGTGGTAATATAACACATGATAATTTTAAGGCATAAAATATTCTGTCTCGCGCTTTTTTATTAATGCCTGTTTAGGTTCACTGTAATGCATAATATAATTACTGTACAGTTGGGAAAAATGCTGTTCTGTCACCTGCAGTTGTCCTACATGCAAACTTTCACCAACTGCAAGGACAGTTTGCACACAGGCACTACCATATATGATGATCAGTGAAATAAAGGTTGCTGCACTGGTTATTTACTAGCAGATAAATTATTTGCAGAAAGTCTTCAGTTGGCAAAAGCAGTTGTTTTGTAAACAACAGGACAAGCTTATTTTCTCACCCATTTGTCTACATGTTCTTTGAAACCCTCCTTTATCCCATTTCTGTAACTGTCAGCATTTTCCCATGACTTATGTTTCTTGAGCCATCCTCTTGTAACAAAAAACTGGGAAATACCATGGCTAGCAACAAGTTGGCTTGCCAGTCAGATGCTACCAGAAAATAACATATAATGGGCAAGTTATGTCTCCTCCTTCAGCAGAAGCACTAACAGCAGCATCGATCTGTATGCCACTACTGATTATGGAAAAATTTGGAATTATTTATCTTCAAGATCGCTGCCCTTTCAAGTCAAAGCCATTTATCAACTTGGAGAGAAATGGACAGACCAAGTTTGATTGCTTAGTCCTATTTTGTTAGGGTCTCAATTAATAAAATCACCTGTGAAAATGCACTAGACACATACATACCCATAAAAAATATTTGAAAACCCAACTGAACAATATTTACGTAATTATAGAAACAAATCGCCCAACTGAACAATATTTAAATAATTACAGAAACAAATCACTGTGATCACAAGCAGTTATTTGTCTACACTCCTTGCACATTCAAACAGATGAATGTCTTAAAACGAGTTTATTAGCATTAACTTCAAATCCAAGTGTTAACTGCGTACGAAATATTATCTTCCCAAACAAAATAGAGTGGCATGGATTTTAACAACTTAAAGGTTAACAAAACCAGATATTTCAAATTCCTTACATTTTTCACAAAAGCACAAGTACCTCCTGGGATTTCTCATAAAGAAAATCTACCAAAACCAGAAACTCTGCTTTACCCTACGGCTTAGCACTTATTACTCTTGATGAGGGATACATTTTGAGCCTCGCCGACTGTCAAAGTCCAGTTACCCAAGTACCTGGAAGAATGATTCAAAGCATACCCCCCGACTTCCCCAAACTATGCTCTTTGTCCTCTATGTCTATTTTCCTTCTCTAAAGTATCTATGGATATTATCTTAGGCTCTCTCGTCAGTATGTTTTATGTGCCTGCCATGCTTCCTTGCGAAACCTCCCACTCAGAGGAGGAAAGGCTCAGTCTTAAAATAAATTTTAGCTCAGCAGCCTTCAAGTGTTGCCCAACAGAAGAAAAAGATGTGGATTCAAACTTCACTCACACTGACTTGATGCAAAGGAACTGGACAGCTAGTATTGATAGCACCATCCCTGAGCAAACAGTTGCTGTGTATCTACGACACTGGACGCTGCTTCAAACCAATAAGCAGGTTTCTTCCAGTTGGGAGCAATACTGAAGCCAGCTGACTTGGTGTCTCAGCTTCCTTTCCACTGTGCTCCCAGGCCAATTAGGCAAGCAGCTGGTAGCCTGAGGCACTGAGCAGCTCTCAAGCTGTTTTCCTGCCCAAAAGCTGCATTAAACACGATTGGCCTAAATACTGAACCGGAGCAGGACCGAAAACCTACTCACTATTCACTCCATTCTCCTCTGATGAAGAATGAAAACTGAACGGCAGCTTAAAAATGAACCATAATTATG